ACTCTTTCCTTTTTTTACTAAATGAAGACAAATCTATCCTTTGTGGTTTCAAGGACTGTATGAATTATGGCAAATTCATTACACTCTTGCAATAGCTTCAGTGTTGTCAATAGCCACCATGAGTGCAATTGGAAACACACAATCACAGCATCCAGGAAGCTGTGTATATTTCATTTACCTGCTATCTCATTGTATCTTTGTTCCCTACTGTACAGGAGCTACCAATGAAGCCACGCAGTATTTTACTAGATCTCATCTTCCTGAACGATACAGAGCTACGGAAATGAATTAAGAGATGGGGCATAAATTTATCCAGATTAGGCAAAATTTTGAAAGCTATATTGCTGAGATTGGGTTCCCCTCAATAATATGGACTGCAAATTCTAACTGGTGTGGAAAATCCACCCAGGAGTTGGCCAGCAACTACTGTACTACATTAGAGATTCCAGGGAGTCAGACTAGGAAACTGGTTCAGATTCAAACTCCTTCTCAAAGTAATTATTTCCATCCCTACTTGCCAACAGTCACCCTCCAGGATCAGGGCCTTAATATTAACTTCACCTTCACATGCTCGAAAGCAGGACATAGGGCTCTATAAGCAGCAGGGTAATTAGAATTTGGATGAATGAGAGAAGCCTAAAGGACAGCAACATGCAGCCTCACAGAATGAGGTACTGGTCTGTGGAAACCACTATCACAAGAAAAATATGACTGGACAGCCAGCTTTTTCTGAGGCTGGCACCAAAGGGCACTAGAGGCGAAGCTAACAGAGTGGCCCTGCTATAAGTTGCCCCAGTATACATCCATTCCACACTCAAGCAATTGATGCTTATAGGAACTGATGCATTATAAGTCCTCCCATTCCCCACTTTTTAATCGTGCAAAACACACACACACACACACACACACACACACACACACACACACACACACACACACCAACAACCCCAATTTGTACAAATGGAAGTCAAATGGTATTAAGAAATGAGCTGGGCTGTTTTCAAGGTTAATAAGACCTTTCTTTGGCAATCAAAAATAAAGCATATCTAGCATACGTAAAATCCTTATTTAAAGTATGAAGCAGTAATGGTCAAAGTGAAATATGGACATTTAATCTGACCATGAACACTATGGATACCCAAGGGTGAAAAATACCTGCAGTAATATTTTCACTAGCTTTTAAAGAGTTTCTCAGTCAAACTCTTCTTTTAAAGTTAAGACATTTCCTTTTGCATTGCAAATTCACAGCGTTACAAAATTGGAGGAATATGCTCATGCCCAGAATAGAACAGTGGTATTCAGACCTCTCTCAGTTAGCAGCAAAAGAGAAAACAACTTAATGACACAGAGAGCAATTTATGACTTCTGAAACTAGGTGCAAATTACTGTTGGATAAAGGATGTTAAGACAGCTCAAATAATTCCAGACATCCTTTCCACCTGACCTCTCCATTTATTCCCTCCTCATTCTCACTACCTTCAGTCTCCTCCACTCCCTTTTAGCCTGTTACCCTCACCTTTCTCTTTGCTATATTATATCTGTGTAATATTATGTGATTTTGTAATGTCTGCTCTTGTAGCTTTGTCAAGTTGTAAAGTTGCAGAACTATACAATTTTATTGGATGGCCTGTGAAATGTGCACTTTTTGGTAACATATACAAGCTGTGAGCCATTTATTTTTTAGTATTTTTTTACACTGTTTCTTTACAAAAATTAATCACAAAACAAAATTCACTAGATATTTTAATTAGCAGGGTACAGTTAAGTAATAATAAAAAAATCAGTCAAAAAATACCCAAATGCCTTAAAATTAAGATTCAGGAAAACACTTGTTTTGTAGGGACTAATCTTCAGTAACAGATTAGATGGCCTAATAGTTCTCTTCTATCTCTGTCATCCATAGCCCTGATCTGCCATATGTACTCATGCTGAGTCCCATGAACTCAAGAAAAACAGTAAGGTGACAGAATCAGCCTTGTGAGTCTGTCTAGAATTACGTTCACGTCTGTAGGCCTCTTAGCTATCATGTCCCCACCTATGGAATATGGCTGTATTTCATGCCAAAATGCTTGGATTTTTTTAAACTGAAGGACATTTTACAAATGTGCATTAAAAATAACAATAAATTCTAGCTACAAATAAAACACTTATATTTGCTCTGGCCTTTATTATAAAGTTTTAAGTCTATGTTACTTATCAAGTTACACTTACTCCACAAAGTGAAATTCAAAATTAGATAAAATTTGGTCTGAAGGTTTATTCTAAAACAGATTTGTAAGTGTGTGTGTGTGCGTGCATGTGTGATTTTTATAATAACCTGTTTCAGTTCTTATTCTGCAGAGGAAGATCATAGAATCATAGAATAATAGGACTGGAAGGGACCTCGAGAGGTCATCGAGTCCAGCTCCCCGCCCTCAAGGCAGGACCACGCTCCGTCTACACCATCCCTGACAGATCTAGTGTGCTATCTTCCAACATAACTGAGGATCTAAACCTTAGCAACCTTAGTGCAGCAAGATCATTGGATTGGGCTGCAGAGGAAAAGTATTTTTTTATTTTTTTAGTTGAATGTTACTTACCAGAAATTGGCCTTTATGCCAAAAATCTCAATGTCAAATACCTCCCAAGCTTCCCAGTTTTCAGACTCCGGACCTGGATTTGAATTTTGAAGCTGTAGCTCACTCTAATACAGTACTTGCTTAAGGCATTTAGACAGAAATTTCAGGGGATCGCAGGTGACCCAATGTGCAGCTCTACGGTTTATGGCGCCCAGATGAGAAGGACATTCACCTACCGTAATCAGAAACCACTGCTTCTTGTAAAGCTCTGAAATTCCCAAAAGGACACATTCTCTCCCATCTAAAATGACCATTATCCAACATTACCTTTAATCAGCGTATTACACAATCTTTGCTTCAGGCCAAGACATGCATAGATAACACTGGCCCTGATCCAAAGCCCACCAAAATCAATGCCAATTCTTCCCCTGACTTCAATGGGCTCTGAAGCTCTTCAGTTATGACAAGTGCAACATTTGCTACTAAATATTAGGGACCATTAAGGATGCTCCCTCCAGCATTCTTTTATCCTTTACAATTCATTGTAACAGGATAGATAACAGGAAACAAAATATCAGTGCATGACTAAATCTGAGTGCAGGGGCGCTGAAGGTCATTGAACTGAAAAGGAAACCCTGCAAATAATGGAAACCACCTGAAGCCAAGGAAGACCGCACCACCCCAAGCCCCAGCACCTGTTCCAGAGAGATGCCATTTATATAAGCAGATGTTACAGATTTGACTGCCAATCCACAAATTGACCAAAATGTTAATTTATTTCAGAGTAAATCTTAGTCTAAGGTTAACACACATGCCCTGTCTCTTGAATAGAAACCGATAAACATGTTTTATATGTACTACAAAGGCAGACATTAAAACACTTCTTTAGTTAATGGACAAAAAACAGGTTTTCAAAAATCAAGAATTAAGATATACAACCACTAAGAGATCAGAAAGAGTTTTACAACCTGGTACAATCACATTTAAGAAAACCAAAATAAAAAAGTCACATTTGTGAATTTAGAACTTGCCAGGTGACAACATAGCCACCATGAAGAATATTTCATAATACCTACAGTACAATCTAATTGTTAATTTAGTCACATCACTTTGCCATGTTAATTACAAAGAAAGAAAAAAAGCCAGAGAAATTCCACACAGCAGTACAAATTTAAAACAGCACTATTTTACAACTTTATTAATATTATACAGACATGCCATTAACAGGAAAGTTAAATAGACAATAGGCCAGAAAAAAAATATCATTACATAGGACAGGCAAAAGCAGCACTCCTTTAAATGCTCCCAACTCAGGACAATTAAAATATCAAATAAGTCATAAAATATAATAAAATCCCACCTCTTCAGAAGAATCTCTTTCTTGTGAGCAAAACCTTCTTGAAAGAAATTTTAGCTGTATATGAGAAGCATCAAAACCTCTGGGAAGAAATGCAACTGCATTGGTATTCTGCTCAGAAAATGTCATCTCAGATCTGTTTACCTTAGCTGTGGACCATGATTCAGCCGGCAACAACCATCTTGCATACTGATCAATCTATTTGCAGCAAAATTACTAACATTTCCTAAATTAACCACAAAGATTCTGGAAAAGAGTTAATAATTTTTAATCCACACATGTAATGTGAACACTATTGTTACATCTTTCATTCCAGCAAGATGTACTGTACTTTATGGAGCTTCGCCTATCATTCTATTTTGCATAATAGGACATTATATACCACTAGCAGACTTACCTGGCATCCAGGTCTGGCCCAGGACAGGGGAAGAGGAGGAAAAGGGGCTTAGGCCTCCTGCTGATGCTCCCTGGGCCAGCCCCTGACCGTGCAGCACTCCCTGGGACCGATCTGAGGAGCAGGGGAGTGTTTGAGGCAGGGAGGTCACTTACCTGGGCTAGTGGCAGGCAAGATGGAGAGCCCCACCTACGGCTAGTCACTCTGTTGGTGATGCGGCTTTCCACCCTGTGGTGACTTTGCAGGATAGCTCTCCCCAGCACTCACTGCCCCGCCAGTGGTGACTGAGGACTGTGTCCCTCCTCTCTCTGCCATTGTATGGAAAACAATCGAATTCCAGGCATGTCCTATTTTCCTGGCATATCCTAACTTAAAGCAAGGTCAGGGTTTGGTTAAAAGGAAGCTACATACCAAATTTGGTGGGCTTAGCTCTTACCATTTAGGAGTTCTTTCCATTTAAGACATCTCAATGGTGCCTGATTTTCAGAGGGAGGGAGTGCTCACCACTTATTGAAAATCAGAGCTCTCCATGCTGTCTCAAGCTGGGCACTCAAAAAAGGAGGTACCCAAATATAAAACT